ATAAATCCACTGTAAGACAATATCCTCCAAATTATTTCAGCCATCCACCCTGTCCCTAGTGAAGTAATGCAGAATAAAATTATATATCTAATCATTATTTTTTTGATTAAACAATAGATATATTTTCAAGATGATTTTGTTTCTCGATGGCCATGTCGTGAGCATGCTACTCTATGATGAGTTAAAGCAATAAGTCTTGTCAACTTTCGAGTTCTCCCTTCCAAATAGTATTTCGCGATGTGTGTTTTGAATGCATTATTCGAGTATAAGGTTTCATTAAACGGTCATACGTGATGAGTTGTTCAAATATCATGTCAACGCATTTACGAGCTCTCAATAGAAAACACAAGTTAACGCCTTCAAATACCCTATTGGACACCATTACCTGCCAAATAACTGTCTAGCGATACACTATCGAAAAACAAACCTGATTTAGCGTAGGTACATATCCATACATCTTCCTTTCTCTCTTCAAAACTATCCATGGCCTTTAGACTCGATAGTGGGATAAACCAAGGGAATCTGACTCCTTTGTACGTATGTGTATCTGTTCGCCATGTCCTATCCTCATTGAAAGTATTCATGGTAATATAACGAAGGCCTGACAAAATATAAAATACCACCTGTACAATATCAAATGCAAAAACCGGACACTGTTTTGAATATGGTAGGAATATCTAGCTGAATTGGGAATAAAACTGTGGTTCATGAACACCAACAATAAAGCAATTATATAAAATATAGAAATTACAGGCATTTTAGGAACATATAAAATTAAAAATCACGACTAAAGCAATGCGTCTGGCTATTATATGTACTATTAATATGCGTGATGTTACAACACAACTGTGCATGCTGTATAATATTATCAGAAAAAGAAAACATCTAACAAATTGAGGTTTCAGACATGTTATGAAACTCGTATTCTATAACACTTACGATAATTAGCTCTTTTACTGAAACAGTATTCTAAATAGCCATGAGAACGTAGGTAACAGGTGAATCTGTGAGACCTTCTGTATTGGACTAGTTGGCTTCGATACAAAAAAACTGATTTGTGACGTCGTTGAATAATCCATGTATTTTTATTTTAAGTATCAGTACATATCAGTAATGTTGGTATTTAAATTAGTAAACCACAAAGAAAAAAAAAACGATGTAGTTGTCGATGCCCGAAACTTCTTGTATATAGCATCTATGACATTCAGCTCTTTGATTGATTATAATATTTTTTCTTATATACATCACAAAGTGATCAGATGAGTTATACCACATGTAATAGATCAACCATTCATCTCATCGATAACATAGAGTGAATTTAAAAATAACTATATCTGCATTTACTGAAGTGTCCCTTTTTTAGGCAATGGGATTTAAAAAAAAATGAGTGCTGTTATACCATTATTCCTTACTGCAAAAGGTTTATTTAATTGTAAAAAAACAACGTATCATGTCTGAAAGTAGTGGCTAACTAAACTAATTGACAACAATGCACCCATGTGTTTATACAATTTAACAAATAGTAAGGCTCCAATAAATTCACTATGTCTTCTATACCATAATGATAATTAACATAACGTGTATACAAAATGTATTGTCTGATGTTATATCATAATAGAGAAAGACAACGAACGAGAGAGACGATGGGGAAGAGTGAGAGTGAGTGAGAGAATAAGAGTGAGTGTTGATGAGTAATCATAATCATCAGTGTGTTTAGTCGTCACGGTTACAAAAAAGGAACAATAAATTTAAGGTGTTGTGTTTCTTTTACCATTCCCATCTTACAGAGTAATACACCTACTCGCCTACGTTTTAGAATACTAGCTAATGAATAATTCAGTAATAAGCCCTGTTCCACAAACTGTGAGATCACGCGTGACCACGGTTCACGCACCTCAGCAACCAGTTGAGTCACGTGATACAGGTAAAGTTTTCAGTCCAATACGGTAGCAACCACATTGTCCAACGTGTTGTAAACCTCACCACTAATACACACGTGCACTGGTTGCTTTATTACAATCTTGATTTGGTGTTCAAAATGAGTAATACAAAAAGAAGGCAATGTAAAGTCACTGTACATTATTTCATTTTATTAAATAAAACTTTTCATACTGATGACAATCTGACAACGTTTCATAAATACTGCAGAGGAATAGTAACTCATGCAGTAGCAAAGAGTCTGGGCTGCACACACAAAAAAGTAAACTTTTGAACCATGCTGGAAAAATACTTCATTGAAAGGGATAGTAATGATCTGAATACCAAGCTTTGTGTAAATAACCATATCACACTCAGTAAATTTGTAAATACCGAGCTGACCTTGTATCCGCTACATCTTTATAACGTTTATCCTTGGCAGTATCTTTAGGGGACTTCAGCTTTTACATGTGGTTTACATCAGCAGAAAAGTCTAAATGGCTTACTCTCATCCACACTGGGTACCTGGGTACATACACTTTCTGGTGTCTGTGTTTTTTCCCATTTATCTTATTTTCTTTGTTACGCCCCAATTGAAGTGCTTGTAAATCAGCACGATGGAGGAGGCGACAATCTAATAACCCTATCGACAGTCCTGATAGGATCTGCTGATGGGTTTGCCGCTAGTGTAGTGGCTTGGCTTGCAACTTGTCTGAACAGGGATGCAGTAATCATTCCCTTCCTCATTTCATACCTCACTTGTCACCGATTCATGTTATTAATCAGTTCTACTTCATTATTTGTACATGATAAATTGTCCATGAAGAGTGAAACTGTACGTGAAACTGAAGCGTCTATGTTTTCAGGAAGATAAATTAATCAGAGAAATTTAACAAAAATAATTCTGAATGTTGAATATGCAGCCATGCATAAAATGACATAAACTTTAATATTAATTTGCATTCCTGCAGGAAATTTCTCATGAACTGTACGAAATCCAAAGCTTACAGAGGTCAATGAAAAGTGCTCTGCAGATAGATCATAAACAGTAGGAATGCAACGTCAATGAATCTATCTTAGTGACAGGTGGCATGGAATACTATTGTGGCGAAAGGGATACTCACCTTGATACTTGAACTTTAAGTTTGTTAACAGGTACAGGTACATCATGCTGCATGGGACGTTTTGTCCACAGACAGGACACACACCATCAACTCAATAAATACCATTTAATGTTGAAAAGAATCATTAATCACAACCAATAGTGAAAGGCTACAGATACACCACACTGAATTGAACATTGAAAGAAAAAAACTAACATCAAATTATTACAACACATGAGTAAAGTAGAAACAACATAAATCATAAATGCAATTTAATTTTGCAAAATAAAATGGCATCCACATTATGAATTTCTAAAACATTGTTTTCAATAGAACCGTGAAAGCGTTGCTTTAAAAAATATATTGAGTGGTTCACTGCTAAGTCTAGACGCGTAATGAGCACGACGTTAAAAAATGCACGATACTTGACATAACTCGAGGGCATTCACAATACGACGTCAGAGTGCTACTTCTCCATCAAGAACCACAAGTCATAGCTGCATTTCTCGAGATACATTTTATCTTTTTGAGTAGGTTTTACCTTCGCCTTGAAAGAACCAAGTGAACTTGTTCTGGAAATCGTCGTGTATTGCAGGTCAACCACATGCTCATCGCAATACAGCTTGAAATTTTCGAACGATTTGTAGGCCCTAAGCTTCATTCGAATCGATGACACATCAAATAGTTGAAAACAGCGGACAAGCCGAGTTCCTGAAATCACGAGAGTATCCCGGTAATATTTTTTTATAGTTACCCAGGAAGTGTTCACGCTGTGGTACTGTCATTCTGTCAAAGTAAGCCATGGTCGAAGACGTGAAACAGATGCAGGAAATCAATCAGAAATTTAAAGCGCGACACGAGGTGCACTCACGATTTAGCGCCATTTTGAATCAAAGCTTGACCTGTATCACGTGACTAGCAACCGGTTGCTATGCAAATTTAACAGTCTCGCGATACCTCGAACGAACGAACGAAGCGGAAAATGACGCAGTAGAACAATATTCACATGTATTATAGGTAATCCAACCTAATGTATTATAATGAAGAACGTGGAATATAGCAACGTTCTCATCACATTTCGCTATACATTCCAGTGTTGTGTTATCACTTGAATGTAATGTAAATGAATGTAAACTCAACATCGTCATAAAAGGATATGAATAATGAAGTCCTGAACTTGAAAATCCGAGATGTTAAATATTCCATTATGATGAGGAGCGTATTTTTAATATTTTTGTCACCAGTTGTTTATGTAGAAAAAAATCTCTCAAACAGTATTTTATTATAACCTTGTAATATACATGTTTTGATAGCAGCGCAAAAATCATATTTTATAATTAGTATAATTATTTTGATTGCAATTTTAAATGAAATTTGAACATCGTCATCAATACCAGCATATGCGACATTTAGAGTAAGCTGTAATAATAAACAATTATTTTTTGCAATTATTTTGACTGGTTCATCTGGAGTAATCCATGTTTTATCTACCCGCTAATGCTTTTGCTGTCAAGATTGATTTATACACCTAATGAGTAGATATTATTTGTATTGTAATTTAGTATAGCGCCACCTAGCGATGCAGTGTATTTTAAGTTTGTTTTTAGATAGATTAGGCCATATTGTTTCATGGTGAGAACTACATGGGTTTGTTTCTCGATCATGTGCCATGCTAAAAAGAGATGCTTTGTTGTTAAAATCCACCGACGAAACTTAATGTTTATTTACTAGAATATGTGTTTACTCTTGGGTTCGCCTATTAGTTTGGTAAAAAAACGAAATTCAGTTTTCCGTGAAATTTATGTGTGCCACACATGTGAGAAACTATAAATAGCGGTGATGAGACATGTTTACCATAAATATAATTCAAATATTACATTTTACATATTACACCTAAATCACATTCATGTTTGTTACGTTCTATTTATATTGTGTATTTCTAGATGGAAACTGCGTAGATAGATATACATGTGCATAACTTTAAACATTTTGACTAGTATTTGTAAGAAAGTCGAATGATAATCCAGTGCCTTGGACCGCTTTTTTATACCATTTATCAAATTCGTCGTTTTGGGAAACAGTAAAATGTTGTTTCCAGCAACCAACTTTTCCTGCAATAAAAAAAGTAATAGGTGTAATATTATATTAATGCTAATCAATGTCTATAAATTTGTATCTGTGCAATATTGTTTCTTAGTGGCCCAATTCATATTGTGTCGCATTAAACTAAGGAAAGTGTTTGGGGGTGATATAAAATGTTCAATATTTCCAAAGTAAGGAATCAATTCGAACGTGTACGTAACACTGAATTGTAAGACAAATACCTTACCTTTTCTGACGAATGGTGATAGATGTGGGTCTATTTTATAAAATTCACAAATATGATCTCGCACTTTTCGCTTTTTCATCGCCTCAAATGTGCAGTTTTCGGCTATTCCTCGAATGTTTTCCAATGTCAGTGTATTTCCCATAAAAGTACATATCATTTTAACTGTTTCTTCTAGGTCCTATACGACAAAGATTATAAAGTTCATACATAAAGTCTGACATTAGTGTATTGTGTACGCCTTGTGTTACTACTTGGATATTCAAAGTAACGTGTTTGTACGGATATATTTGGGAAAAGTTAAATATGTCGATCACTATGAGTAAATTTTAATGTCGGGTTCGGTACAAACCATTTGTACTGGTGTAAACTAAGTTTATAGACAATTGTTGTAATTTGTTGGGTTTATTTTCTCGATCGTGAAGTTTGCTAACATTCCCATAGCCCGTAAATCTTGTCTTTGATTCCCATGCTAGCAATTAAGACATGAGTATCACTGTAGAATATTGTAATGTTGAATTTGTTTCCATTACCTTTACTATGTCTTCATATTTTAAATAAAGAACATTGTCATCGTCTTTTTTCTTCCACCAGTAGGTAACCTGGGTTGGCCAATCTCCTAGTATGACTAACAACAAATAACGAACACGCATATATTAATTTATTCTGGGTACGTGAAATACTGTAATATTGTAAATAATAATTAAATACTTGAAAATGAAATTGAACATTTGAGCTACGTAACGATGAATTGAAAATGGTCAAACAGCATTAACCAATATTAATCCGTAAATATATTCGATGATCAATAATCAACGTTTACGAGAAGGGATTGCGAGATATCAGAGTATTTGACGCAAGGTGTAGATCAAGTTTACAGAATATGGATATTCCATGGATTTAGCTCTGTGCAGACACGATAAGATGTGTATAGTTTGATCCGACTCTAAGTGCTTTTATCTGATGTATCCCTTGTACATTGCAGGAAAATTAGCAGGAGCATTCGGCTCCCGGTGACCTTTGTGCTTCACATCATTTATCGATTATTTACAGTTTAGCATGCATGGACCATCTGATTTTGGAGATTTCCCTGAAAACCTGATTCCATGATTCCAGTCCCCGCCATGCCATTGACCAATAATTTATCTTGAAAACTACATTAAGTGATTCTACACATGGCAGTTATTTCGCGAGTGACATTGAATTGAAGCAACAACATACATTAGGCATTATATCATACGCGTAACTGTTAGGTTAGTCGATGGATTAAATATTCATTTATTTACTCAATAATCATGCGTATACCGACATCGTTATTTTCTCGTATTTTGTTTTAGTATTTATTTTATTGATTTGTAGATTGTGTTTCCTGTGCTTTTGTATATCAGTTTAGAAGCGCATTGTAAAATCAGCTAATTAATTACAAATATCACCTCGTTTGTATTATAGCGATTTCATTATTTTGTTACCAGCAATCGTACCTATTAAATACCTGTAAAAAGCCCGGTCTAATAATCTTTGATAATATTTGACAGGTTAATGACAGCTGGAAAATCAATCAGTCTTTTATAAACTTGTGTGATAAGAAGCTCTAAATAATTCCTGACAGACGTCATGCAAGTCTTTTTTGCGCATGCGTAAACTACCAAACAACGGACGAGGGTAGGACCAAATCATATAAGCTCAAAAGAACAATCAACATACAACAACATATGTGTGACAGTTTTTAACAAATTACGGAGTGAGTGAGTGTGGGTGTATGCACTATGTATAAGGAGATGATATGTATATGTTTTGCTGATAAAATGTTCAAACCATCCAAAGACTATCAAGCATATGAAAATGTTTCGCTCTAGGCAAAGATAATTTTCATGTTTGTCCCTTTCGGAGACTGGTACGAATTAACTAAAAGATAATACCACTTTTATTTATAAGACATTTTGTGTTGGAAACAAGCGGAGTACTGCGTTTAGAACCAGCATGTTGACCTTACGTCCCTCAATATGCGCAAACGATAAGTGCACAAAAGCTGTCAATTCAAGAATTAAGAATTGCAAAATTTACTTACAGTAGTAATGATATAATTCGGAAGCTTTGATTAATTACACAACCTTCATATTATATTAAAACATTTTTTTGCCTTTTCGAGTAAACGATGCAATGACATTGTAAAGTAGTACATATTGATATGTTCTGCAGTTATCTTACCTTTCCCACTCATAAAGTCATCGATGAAATGTTTGAATGTTGTATAAGTTTGATTACTCGGTATAACAGATAAATGGTGATGGAAAGACACAGCAAGATCCTTTGGGTTTCTGGCGACGTAGACAATCTGCAAAACATTTGTCGTCATTCATGTTATACTAAAAATTGTTCTCAGAATAAAAATAAGAAGCGGACGTCTTGTACAATCACTCTAAGTACAGAGGAAGTTATAGTCATGTTCATTCTATGTTGATTCATTGGCTACAAAATGGAAAACATGGATTAAAACAGACAGCAAAATCTGGTGAACGGTTAAAACAGTTTTCTCCACTAATGATGTTTCAACTCCAAACACCATACTATAAATGTTTCGCAAAGTATTAATTTATAAGGCAAATTTGTGATCATTAGAGTAACTAAAAGAATTTTCTTCCAAACTGTATTATTTCGTAGCACCTCTTATAATAGCCTAGCATGTAGGCGCGAGTAGGTGAGTAGTTGGGTTTGGAGCACCGCGGAGGGCGCAACTCCGGCGACTTGTCAGGCTACTCTTAAAACAAACATGAAATGTTTCAACCTAATGCACCCGACTATATACAGAACACTTTTGTCCACGATATGCATCTATAATAGTCATAATTATCGAGTGTATTTAGCATATTTATTAGACAAAAATTGCTCAGACTTGTCAGCAGACATGGTGTACATGTAGCGACAAGTTTTAATATTTTCCATAATAAACAGCCGTATGTATTCATATATTTTGCGAGTATGCATACTATGTGCCTGTCTAAAGTTTAATAACATATGAAATTAAACATGCACGGTGTTGTTATAGGTCAGTAAGCTTGATGACGCAGCCAGTGGTTTAATCATTAGATTCATTCTCTTAATAGCTATTATTCTATTGGCGGAGCCTCACTGTTGAATTCCATCTAATATTGTATTACCACACACCAGTAAAATTTGCGTACAATTTAAACAAGCTTCTCTAAGACTCTAATAATATATAATTTCATTGATACAATAAATACAATATGAAACCAAATATTGAATAAATTATTTTGCTACTTTTTTGCAACCATTTTCAAATACTTTTCGTAAACGGCGGTGTTCACGATGAACAAAATCATATGTTGTGTGTTCAAGTAACTTGAACTCGTGTCACGCGCACGTTCATTCAACAATTGAATTACACTATCGAGAGTATGTGAAAAGATGGCATATTTTTTAAAGAAGAACCGGGGTTTAAAGCGCGGTAGTCGTCGCGCTGCGCATGTTCGACATTCGTGTTGATAAACATTGATTTTCCCACAATCCAAAGCGCTCTTCAAATGGAAATCACAAGTATGAGGTTTGACCTGGGTTCTACTTGCACTGATTACCGCCGGTGACTCCTTCGATACCTTCCAATCACATGAAAATTTCCTAATTAAAGCTTGGAAACGTGTCAGTTCGTACTTGTTGATCTGCGCAAAAGTCAAAGTCGCCATCTTTGTTTATATGAGACCCATATATCTCGCACATGCGCATCGCGACGACTACTGCGCTTTAACCTAAATAAACATGAAGATATGATTATATTGTTACTTCGTTACGAAACGTGTGGGAAGTGTAATTTGTTAGAGCTAGCGTCGGAAGTTGTGTACTGCATTGTTATTTGCAATAGTCCCCATTCATTTCATTGTGTGCGCGATAACTGATTAAACCCAAGTTCATGCATTTACTGGACCGAAGAATTCCATACTGCATAACTTCTTTGCCAACATTCACCAGAGATATTGATCTGAATTACCAAATAAAATCATAGAAATGTTGAACCGAATTTAACAGCAAAATTCAGTTCATTTCGTGTTCAAAATGTGTGGTCATGTCATTTTCACATTACATGTGCGTTACTTTATAACAACAATAATATTTTACGTCACATATTTCTCCATGCCAGAAGAATTCTGGCTAGGTGAGTATAGTTTTAAATAAAAACACAGTTCCCGTTTAGAAAAGCGACAGATGAATGAAACAGAATGGATGTAGAGATGCAGTTTCGAAGATTGAGGGAGAATGTGATTGCGATAGAGTAAATTTATTTACCGAGAGCATGTTTCTCTGAAATTGGGGATTTTTTATTTGTTCTACTATTTTTTGATAGCAATTTGATGTGCCCGGGGAGACTGCATTAGAGACAACAATACCACTTGAGAAAAGAGTGGGAACTTTCATTTATGTCAATGAAGAATCGGTTTAAAGATGATATTGTTCGTTTCAGTTCATTACTCATCTATTTTGAAGTGTAAATGTTCACAATTATTAGGTGTTATATCTATTGTTTCACGAAATGTTTAAATTTCAGTAAACACACTTCAACTAACCTTTGGTCGTACAACGAACAGTTGTGGCGGTAGAAACGAGGGAGGTAGGTGGGTTCCGATGATACGCGGTGAGGACATGTCGGCTAGAACTTCGTAATTTGGTTTGGACAACCGTACTTGCATTTCGGGATATAAACATTTATCCAGAGGTTCTTCCGTATCAATAACACCGCTGCATGACAATATACCCCAGACAATCTCACTCACCAACGCTGTACCTGAATATAATGATGAATTACATTAGAAAAATACTATAATTATTAATGTTACATTAAAGTTAAAATATATAACCAGATTATAAACTTTAAGCATTTAATGCTATTTGATTGTGTTTTCCAATGCAGACGTTTTTTTCACATCATTAAAATTTCATTTCTACCACTTCTTTTCTCGCGTTTTTCGAATTCCGTATATTGATGGTAGTCGCCATGAAAGGCTTTTTACCATAGTTTCAGCATGCTGAATCCGATAATTCCGGTTCTCGTGTGATTTGAATAAACAAAATGGCCGCCGAATTGTATTCTAATAAGATTAGATCTATATAATCCTCATAAATATGGGAAAGTAGTGACGGCCATTACGGAGAACTAGTTTTTCCCGTATATCTCTGTAATTAGGCAAGCAAACAAAAAGTGTTTTCATAATCAAGGAATTCCATAAACAAGTCATATGCATTGTATATTAATGTAACAGGTAGAAATGTGTCTGAATGTGATCCGCATCAAGGAAAAGCATATAAAGTTTGCATAATGTGTTGACTGAAATTATTCATACTCCTCATTACATCTTACATTGAGGCATTATTTGATACAATATTAGCCCACACTCGATATCAAGCTGTTAATCAGGATCTTACAATGTTGTTTGTCCACATCTCCACAAACACCCGGAGCGCTGTTTGTAAATTTGTTTGTCAACGTAGTAAGAATGGTCCAAACCACAATCCACAGGTACAGACAGATTTTCGACTACAGTCGTATTATTTATCATTCACCTAAAGGTAGCGGTAACCATCGCCGTGAAACAAACACTCCAACAGAATGTAGACACAGTATGTAGGTTTATGGGACAGTATAGCCACATTAAAATTAAAGTGCAACTTGGTCGTTGGCGTTTGTTTATTTGTAAACCTGTTGATAAAGATCATTTACTTGTCTAGTCAACAGGTGTGTTTGTTTGTCATTCTCAGTGGCTTTGTCATGGTTGATCTACAGCATTTTTTGTGTGCATTGTCTCATTTAGGAAGGGAGCAGAACCTAAGTTTTGTATGATTGCTGTTATTTGTTGATACAAATACATATTCGCACTATATATGTATATACACAGGTATATACACAAAATTTACTTAACGTCTCAATTTTCACTTTTATAAGTATAGTTTTATTTGATCTGGTATTTTAGTTGCATCTTACTTCTCCTTGTTTTAGTTACTATATTAAATGAATTAGAAAAGTTAATTTTTTTTGGGAACAAGCAAATAAAATATTTATGTCGCAATCGGCAGGATAGAAGGTACGAATATTGCGATGTCGTACGATAATGCTTACTGGTTTCTGTATTATTACCATAATTGACGATACGTCAAGCCTTGTTACCCATGTTAATAACATAAACGCAGAGATAGTCAAATAAAACTCATATTAACGTTTGATTCTTACATATATTTTTAACGGCTCGTTACCGAAACTTTCGTCATATAACCATTACTGATAATATACCAGCAGTACCATCTTATTCCGACTAGTGAAGTACAAAACCGGTGCGTGCAAAAACAAAACAGTTAACTATAAACACCAATGCCCTGCTAGTGCTTGTTTATAAGTTAATATATTACGCTGTCAAATCAATATTCATTGTGATTGATTTTGCAGAATATAGTGTTCTTGTATACAGTATCATCAAATTCACTGACCATAAAACACTTCATTTGTGATGTTTGCTTACCTAGTTACATAAAAGAAAAAAATGTGTCAATGCGAATTGTGTCAATGTCGTAAACAAAATATTGGTTACCATTCTCAAATTCTCACTCATGCCTGATACATACGAATTTATGTACACGATTACCACTTTAGTGAAACATACATTTTGTTTGTATATGCGTATTATTATACATGAGTCTATTTGTTGATTGATGATTGATTGATGTTTCTATTTTGAAAAAAATGCAAAAAGAAAGTGCAGTAGTTTTAGGTCTGAATGCTTTAGATTGAATATCAATTTTAGTTTTAAATTAATGATTTGTCTGACTTATTTTTATTATTTATAAATTCTTATTAATTTATATTTAGTAAGGTAAATAATATGATCAGACATGTCATTAAATTGTAAATATAATTATCTTAATTTGCTGCATATTGTTTGTGCGTGTTGAGTGAAAACACTGAATTATGAGTAGTGATGGTATTTATTCGAATATATGATAATAAATCTGTATTGCCCCATTTACGCCGGGTCAATAGCAAAATCGTAAAATTCTTTTATTCTTTCACTACATGCCATGAATATTTGTTTGGATTTTTTTCTATCAATTTTAACATTTATTTTTTTATTTTGTTAACATCACAAATATATGAATGAATTTATTGAACTCGAAAAGTAGACAAAGTGATAATAAAATAATTAATACAATATTCTGAAAATTAGATACTATTTTTGTTCTAACGCATAAAATACAACTATATTTATTGCCTCCTTTTAAAAAAACATAATATTGAGCAAATAGAAAAAAAGTTATGCTCTAGTTGTTTCATTTATGCCATGAAAATCAATTATATTGTCTTATAAAAAATGTAACCTAATTTATTATTATTTTTTTAAATTACCAAATGATGTTTAAAATTCTGGCTTCACAAAAAATAATATTGAGCAACTAAAAAAAGAAAGAAAATCATTTGTATTGTCTTTTTCACATCACCAAATGTTGATAAGCTACTGGCTTTCCTATCTATATGCACCATGGGCTACGGCATATACATTCATCACATTGTATATTTACGTATAGCATTTTGTTTAGTATACACATATCAGGCAAATACATGGTCATAAACGTAAAGTTAATATAATACACACAGCATAACTAGTATTGACGGAAAGTTATGTACAATGTAGCAGTGATGACGTCGAATTGTGAAACAAATAATTATGTTCTTGCTGATAAACTATAAAAACACCTACTCTTATTATATGCAATAAAGTGCGATCCTCACCAGATTTATGAAATGTACAAATCCACACATCATCTTTTCTCACTTCAAACTTGTCCATGGCATTCAGACTCGAGAGTGGGACATACCACGGAAAGTTGACTCCTTTATAACTGTATGTATCCGTCCGCCACGTCCCATCTTCGTTGAACAGATTCATGCCAGTGTAACAATAAGCTGTTATTACAAAGTCCGTCTAAGATATTAGATTGAAACAAACAACTATTTGATTTTGATCGAACGACTCTACCAAAACGTTTACTAAATATGATGTGCAAATGAACTAGTTGACATGTTTCATTCAAATGTGTTACATAATTATTTTATACCTAAAACCTCACAATCAACTGTATATATTTATTGAGAAGAGCTTAGTTTATAAAACATAATTTCACCGGCAAAGTTTGTGAGTAAATCTTTTAAATTGAATTACTTGCTGAATTTGTAAACAACAGAATGGAACAGAACATTTACTACAAGACTATAGTAGAAAATACTTTTGACCATGATAGTAGTACATGGGAACTTGGTGAACGACTGAAATATAGACTAACAACGCCAGAATGGTTCTGGATATAGTGTACCACATGACGTCAAAATCATTTGTTCATATAAAAATATCATAAGCATTAAATGTCGTGGGAGAAATTTGAAAGTAAAAATAAATTATATAATCAAAAAAAGTTGTTAACTATTTATAAATTAGAAATCATTTTAGAATAAAGCACAAAAGAGCAAAATATTTTGCTTTGCTTCACTATGTGTTGAACTATATTTTATCAAGAATATTTCTACTGCTTTCCCTAATTTTCAACACCTATAAGTACAAAGCTGATTCGGTCATTTCATCAGATGTACTTAAACTATTAAACTACACACTAGCATACTAATTGCGGAAATGCAGAAGTTTCAAAGAAATGAATTTAACATGCTAAGAAAAAAGACGACATACCCTTATATTCACTGCAGTTCAGTCAGAATGACAACGGATCGTAAATGTAAGGTTTCGAGTGTACACTTGTAGCTGTATAAAGCTACATGCTGAGACCCGTTTTGTTCATATTGTTTAATACCGATTCAACAAATGTTAATAAATAATCTTTCAAATCTAAATAATATCATGTATGCTGATACTATACAACAAATGAAACACATAATTTATGTGCTACTAAAATACGAGCATCAACATCGATTTACTGTTATCTGTCGATTTGTTGAGGTGGACATTAATGGCAATATGTCAGTCCTAATTAGTACATGAGTGTGCGTATTTTTTAGCGTATTTTCTTGGGGAGAATGAGTTAGACCCTGGATAAAATTCTGTATATTTTTCACCGGGGGGGGGGGGTAAAACAAACAATTGATACATGCATGCGTATTAAAGTGCATCATTCAATACTATTTAAAAAAAAAAACAGATTTAGTTCCGTGTTTGTCGACTTTGATGCTTCTTATAATTTAACAAATCGTAAGATTCATATAAATTCACAATGTTTGTTCTTTATGAGTGAGAGTTAGAATAAGAGAGAAAGAGTTAGAATCAGAGTGAGAGTGAGTAAGTGATTGATCATAATCATTAGTGTATTCAGTCGTCATGGTGACGTTATAAAAGGAAGAATAATGTTGAGGTGCTGTGTTCTTTTACCATTTCTTTTTTATTATTAACGTGTGTGTTAAAGTGATAAATTAACAGAAAAACGACCTTCCCCGTTCACAGATCCACTACAAAGTAAATCATGACGCAGTGGAACAATGGTGCTCTGATAAGCATGTTCACAGATATTCCAACCTAATTCCTATCACTTGCTTTCACTTTTACGTGAATGCAATACTTGGTTGAGAAAAGAAATATTTGAAGTAATTTTGCGGTAGAAGGTCTCATTAGTGATAGGTTTTGATCCGTACTGACAAACGTAAAACTACACCAGACTGAACTCCATTTGGTCAAATTCATGAGAGGTTCCTGACGATTTTCACTAGTTGGTAGTTTATCAACAAGGTTTTCTTGAAGAGACGCATATCGAATCACAATTATGTTTAGATCAATGTGGTGCTCATCAATCAAATATCAAAATGTATATCATTGATGCTAGTAATATCTTTTGGCCGTATCAGCAAATCAGACCTTACCTGACATGGCTTAAAATATGACTGTGAATGATTAACACGATGACAATACAAAAATATAGTTTAGTAATGCGTCCTGGACAATCAACAAAATATCGTGATACTTTGATGGTAATTGTAGCGTCACAGTTCAGGAGTTAAGTATTTGTCCATTTGAATGTATCATCGGCGTTGACAATTACCAACGTTATTTGAAAAAAATCGTAAAGAGAAAATATTGAATATAAAAGTTGTTCACCAATTATGAATTTTTAAAATCGTCTTAAAATAAAGCAAAATATGGCTATTTTGATCTACAATTGTATAAAAATGTTCTTCTTTTCATTATGTATTATGTGTGTGTAATTTAAACAAAACAAAAACAGAACAACATACGTTTTTGTTGTTTTACCTACTCGATATATTATAAAAAAATCAAATCTATCCACTAGAGCTTTCGATGGTCAAATTATTTTGTTGCTGTCGAGATTGATATACCCAACAAGTAGAAATTTGTGGGTTCTATTCTATTGTCTGAGTAATTATTTACGAAAACTTATTACTTCACTAGTGTAAAAAATGAAAATTTCAATTCAACTTAGTAATTTCGATGGTGGTATGTGCTGGTCACTGAATGTGGGATATATTCGTGGTGTTTCTTAATTCATATATTGTTACATGCAGATACTTCATTAAACATCTTGTCTTGTTCACCAATAACCATTACTATTTTCTAGAAAAAGAATGCAAATGTAAGTTTGTGTAAGTAATTGGCTCATCTATTCCTCGTCTGGCAAATATAATAACGTAGAACTCTAGTAATAAGGAACATTATTTCACTTATTTTTCTTTTGCCCTCAAGTCGGAAAATTGAAAATTGGGTCGGTCGGTCGGATTATTTTAAACTCGCGAAAACTAAGGGTATCGTAAATAGCCGAGGTATATGGAAATCAATCAAACGTACGCTAGATATTCAACACAAAATCAAAGTGTTTCTTTCAGTCTTTTGTATTTTTTTTATTTCCATCAGCACATTGTTTTTGTCTTTTGCTTAAACAACATTATCCTCTTCAACATCTATGTCCTCCGCTCTTGTCACGTTTTGTAAATTCAATAAAATTTTCTGAATTTTATGTATTAAAATTATATATACAACAACAAACGTATTGTTTTTGATTCAAAATAATGTTTTTACTTAATTAAGAAAATACTTGGTGCGGCGATATTTTTAATATTGTGCACCAACTATCCGTCGAATCGCAAAAGACGTGTTTGCTCTTCAGACTTTATAGTATTCGAACAATACAGATCAACCCGAGGTTCAAAGTCGCCACTTAACCCCCCCCCCCCCGGACCCTAGGGACCAAACAACGGTCCGGAACACTTTTTTTACTGCTTAAAATGGTGAATTTTTAATAATTTGGCCTATTAAAAAAATTACCGCGACCCAATATTTCATATTTTTCGGTCAGTCGCTGAGGGAAACAAAACATTGTTTTGGCCTAAAGTGCACTCCGTATCTATATAGAAATATTTAAAAGTATAGGATCACAAGGCTTTTTGAGAAGATAACGGTTTATTGTTACAACAATTTCACTGTTGGTTCCGATATTGAAGATATTATGCTATATCTTAAATTGTACGTTGAGATATCGGCAATGGTGGTGTAACACACCGTTCACAAAGCCTCATAGATCATTGATTCAGTGGGACAAATGTGTACGGGAAAGATAAATTTTGGTGCTCGGCACAGGAAAGATACATGTGGTTCATCGATATAGTCACCAAGACCGGAAGCAGGGGCAACAAAACCAGGCGGCACACACAGGCACTTTTATAACTCCACAATCTTTAATGCAATCTACTTCAGTAAAATAAACAAAGGTACAATAATTAGCATATGCATATAAATATGTGAGATAGGATATCCTGAAAATATATCAAAGAAAGAGAGAAAACCTAACCTTAGCTAATTAGAGTTTGAGTTTAAATGTGCTAATCGGTCCCTCAATGAATAATAAGATCAGCTAATTTGTCCCTAAGAAAGCCAATTTTATCAACAATAAATGAACAATAACCATCAATCAATCAAAAAACACAAGTGTACATAAGTAACAAACACATGAATACGTCAACAGTTCAGCATCGATGTTCACATCAGGTCACAGTTCACTTACAGTCAGCTTCAGTGTGCAGTTCCTGAGACTTGACAAAATCCATCGTTGGGGGCGCTGCATGACGAAATCGGGCGTGACCTGGGTGTGTCCGGTGATTACCCATGTACAGCGTAGAGGGCGTTGTTCAACAACAACGGGCGTGGCCTGGGTGTGTCCGCAAATTATTCAGGCACAGCGTTGAGGGCACTGTTCAACAACAATGTTATCAAAAGTTCATTCGTAGAAATTCTGAACAATAGTCATAATCAATCGTCATAATTCAAAAATAGTTCTCTGTACAGTGGGACACAACTTGACTA